TCCAGCTACTTTGTTTTATTTTCTGCAAAGACAGGGTCTCACTATTTTGTCCACATTGGTCTTGAACTCCTGGGTTCAGGCAATCCTCCTGTCTCAGCCCCCTAACATGCTGGGATTACAGGCATGAGCCATGGCACCTGGCCTGCTGACCTTTTCAACTGGTCTAATACGGGTATCAACAAACAAAAGTAGAGATGAGTCACTAGGTAAAATGTATGCAGCCATGGGCATTACTCAAAACATTTTTAATTTCCTCTGTTCAAATTGCTATTATAGTTGCATTCCACATCTATGAATATGCATGTATAAAATGTGACTATGCCTTATTTATAAATCTGTGCAATCAAGACAGGTAACTATGATTTTCAAGGACAGCATGATATAAACAAGCAAAGATAACAACAGAACAGGCTTCGGAAACATCTTCTAGTCCCATGGAAAATAGAAGTGAATATAGAATACTGGATCATTTACTTCACTAATTACAGATCAGGTATGGCTCAATATTTTAAAGGATGGGGATGAAGAAGGCTAGTTCTTACGGGGACTTTTTGACATTGAATTATCTCATAATTAAACCAAGCAAATAAGCAAGTGTTATCATACCCATTTTGCAGAAGCTGAGAAAAAGCAACTTATCACAGATGGCTGTTTGATTCCCAGGCACCTTCTGTTTTTACTACTGTGACCTACTTGCTATGGGGATACTGTTTTCAGCCACATTCCTGACAATGTCAAACATCTGAATTATGCCATTAATTCTCCTTATTCTGAATCTGTGTTCACTAAGATACACAAATGTCTCTCCATGTAGTTCACGTGCTAGCCAGACGAAACAGTGTCTTCTCGGAGGGTTCTGTTTTTCCACTGCCAAATAATAAACTGCAAATTAATTTCATCTAAGTCTTTTGGGAGCTTAGTTACCGAGAAGCTGATCCATATTCTTGTACGAACAAAAAGCTTACTTGGTTCTCACAAACTGCAAGGTGAGTTCAGTGCTATTAGTTCCATTTGACAAATGAAGAATTAAGATTGAGTAGAGGGTGGAGATGGAATTCAAAGGAAGGTCAGTTTCTGAGTCTTTGCAACTAGGATGGTACCACAACCTTCTCCCTTCTTCGTGTAGGTGGCATGAGCCATGGAAGTCACAAAGAAAAGGAGCCAAGAGCACCTTTGTGATGGAGAACAATCCCAACAGACAGAGGAAAGTTAAGTGGACATGGGAATGAGGTATTTCCCAAGCCGCAAAGTGTGCTGAGCCACACGCCCATGCTGGTGTCTTTATGTGAGACCATGTCTCCTTAATCACTACATGCCAGTATGTCACATAATGTCTGTAATACTGCTCAGTTACAGCCAACTTGAAGCGGATACCTCACCTCACAGCATTCTAACAATAATGTAAGAGTGTAGGTACACAGAGGGTTAGGAAGCAGGGACCAGGGGAGAAGAAGAAGAAAACACATTACAGCATGAGTCACTCAAAACAGATATATTCAAGAATAGCCTCATAGTAAATAGAGCTGTAAATTCTCTCCTGGGAACCTTTAAATATAAAATGTTTATCTGCCTGGGGCAGCTGGTTGACATGCTCATGCCTGAGGGTAGGAGATGCTATCTAACCTCCAAAGATATGCAGTAAAATGGTCACTTATTTAAAATTATTTGCTTGGAAACAAATCTGTCAAAGATCAAAAGTCTGGGTTGGCTGGATGAAGCAATAAGCATTAAAGCTTCTCTTCCACATCCTTTATATAACAATATATTTACACAGAAAACTCTGAGGTCATTAAAAATCCCTTTTAAGAAAAATGTATGTCAATTGTATTTAAAAACAAAAACAAACAAACAAAAAAAACTCCTAATATTTCAAAAGTTTAAAAAGTAAAAATTGAAAGTCTTCCACTCTCTCAGAGGTGACCAACTGCTAACAATCTGGCATGTGCACTTTCAGATATGAGATTCATCTTTAAATAGTATTTTAAGGTTAGGGAGCAAGTCAAATAATTTCCATTTTAGTACCTGCATTTTCAAGTACCCCTACAGCTTTCCACCTGTAATGGAGTTTCAAGTAAAATGAAATTAGGCTCCATTCCATTCCACACTAAATTTTTTTGACAATCCGTGTCAAGATTTTACATAGAAAATTGACTTGATTCGTAGAAAAGTTAAGAACCTTTTCAGAAGTGTAAAGGGGTAATATACTACATCCTCATTATTTCTACTTTAGCCAAGAGAGGTAAGAAGAAGTATGAGACCAGCATTGCAAGTTCAGAGAACTCTTTCCCTTGTATGCTCTTATTTCTTCTATATCTCAGCAATAAGAGTTGGAGGGCACATGGTAAAGAAGAATGACAATTACTGGAAAAATGGTAGACAATCATTTATACAAAAGCAACTATGTCCATCATTTCCTTTAGCTAAAGGAATTATTTTCCTTCATTTTCTTATGGTACATGAGAACTAATATCACTATTTAAATTTTCTGTTTTGTGAAACTTGAGGGGAAATCCTGAAATGTAGCCTAACAAATGGCCAATTCTGCAACTCTCAATTCAGCATTCTAGGTCCAACAGATAGAATTTCATGGCTCATTTTCTCTCCAACACCTGCTCTCATTAGCTCAGCTTCTTTGAATGAAAAGACAACCAGACTGAAAATATAATTCCACTAACAATTTAGAAAATCAGTTTTCATTGAAGTTCAAAGCTGTAAACCTGATTAGAAAAAACTGCTCGCTGATTGAAGCTGTTTATCTTGGTGGACAACTGCAGTTCCAAAGAGAATCAGCTTGGTATAGAATATTATTTTAAGCTCTTTCAAGAATAGGTTGCGTTCACATTCTATTTCTCTCTTCCAAAGGCATAAGTATTATGTCTCCATCACTTCTAATCAATGGAGATGCTCCTATTAGTCAACAAATAGCCGTTTGAGAAGAAGAGAAGATTCAAAAACCCAGTGCAATCTTCCTGATGCTCACATTTTTGATCCATGAGTGAAATACCAAAGAATAAGGCAAGGTGAGATTCTCATTCTTCCTGGTATGCTTTCACTTTTCTGCCTACTTTTGAAGCCACTGTACTCTGGGGTAAGACTTCTGCTAACAGCATAGAAGCAAACAGCCTTACTACCAATTCCAGATTTTACCTGAAACTCCCAAGGAGGGACACCCAGCACCAACTTTCACTCCACCTGCAAAAGGGAGACCAAATCTCTTCTCTCCTACATCAAGCTAAGCCCTACATTTCCATTTCTTCAACTATGTAACTCACATAAGGATAACAGAAAACACCATACTCCTTTGAAAGGGATTGCGGAAAGAAATGACATGGTCTGAATTTCAAATCTGCAAAAAGAAGGAATCAGTATCAACAGTTTTCCAATGTCTGTACAAAAGGTTATCTGTTCTTTCTGGCTTTACAAAATTCGGAGAAATACCTAATGTAGAAGATGGGGGGGGATGGATGCAGCATAGCACATGTATACCTATGTAACAAATCTGCACATTCTGCATGTGTACTCCAGAACTTAAAGTATAATTTTTAAAAATCGAAAAAAAAGAGAAAATTCTGTTATTCAATTCAAACCACTAAAATATTAGGCAATATGTTATCTTTTACATATTTAAGATTATGCTGTAAGGTAGAAAATATTTAAAAGGCTTGTACTTTCCAGTTACATTGAACCTCTTATCAGTGTAAAGTTTCCTATTTATGGATACTAAGCTTTTTGCCTAGAGTCAACTTTTTAAAAGCTTAGTTCAGCTATATCAGCTTTTCTTTTGTTTAGGCTGCATAACTATCTATGTATTATTTATTTTTTATTTTTTGATTGATTGTTCGATTGACCAGGTCTCACTCTGGCTGGAGTGCAGTGGTGTGATCATAGCTCAGTGCAGCCTCAAACACCCAGCCTCACGGGCTCAAGCAATTCTCCCACCTCAGCATCCTGAACAGCTGAAAATACAAGTGCATGTCACCATGCTCAGTTTACTTTTTTTTTTTTTTTAACTTTTTTGTAAAGACAGGGTCTAGCTTTGTTGCCCAGGATGGTCTTGAACTCCTGGCCTCAGGCAATCCTCCCACCTCACCCTCCTAAAGCACTGGGAATACAGGCATGACCCACCATGCTCAGCTGATATAACCTTTTTATTGTGTCCTTTCTACATCTTCATATTTAAGATGTCTCTTGTAAGCAGCAAACAGAAGTTTTCCTATCCTTTTTTTATCTGATATAACAATCTTTGCTTTTGAAATAGAGATAACTTTATGCATTTTACTGTATTTATTCATATATTGGGGTTTGAGCTCACTATTGAGCTGTGTTATTTGTTTACCTCCCCTTTACTGCCCTCTTCTAGATTGGTGTTTTTAGTATTATAATTCCCATGCCAGTAGCTGGTTCTTTACATATCCCTTCTCTATTCTTTTTGTGATTAATGAAGAATTACAATATAGCTTCCTGAATTACTGAAGTTCAATATCAGGTTGTATATATGCCATATCCTGAAAAATCTCAAGAAACTTAAAACATTAACCCCATTTTATTTTTCTTGAGTTAACACTGCATTGCTGTCATGCATTTTAAATCTCTATGTGAGACCCAAAAAACCATTATTACTTTAAGTTTTTATAGTCGATTTTTATTCAGATTTATCCCCAGTAATACTTCTTGCCACCGTTCCTCATTTCCTGCACCATCATGCTTTATCTAGGATCATATTTTGCTGAAAGAACTCCTTTTAGCATTTCCTTTGGTGCAATTCTGCTGGTAATTAATTTCCTCAGAGTTTTACTTTGCTTTGTTGTTGGTATAAAGTAAATTTATTTCTCCTTCATTGGAAGCAGAATTCTGGGTTGGTGGATATTTTCTTTTCAAACTTGCAGTTGTCAATCCACTGACGTGTAACTTCTATTATTTCTGCTGAGAGGCTGCTGTCAGTCTTACATTGCTCCTTTGAAGGTGGAATGTATTTCTTCTCTGGCTGCTTTTTTTTTTCCCACAAATAAGGCTTTTTATTTGCCACTATTATAAGTCTGAACTTTAAACAGATTCTTGGACTGGTGGTTCATATCCATCAGCTCGTTCAATTTTAGCACCTGTCACATCCCCAGTGGCTTTTCCAGAACTACTGCCTTCACCATGAAGCTCCATGAGTTTTCCCAATTCAAACTTGGGCTTCTTCAGCATTTTTACTTTTCTAACGAAGATATCATGGAGAGGATAAATAGATTGGCAAGCCTTTTCTATGTCTTTTCCAATGCTGTGTGGAATCAATTTATTGACCACTTCTTTCAAGTCATTTGTCTGCACCTCTCAGGTCATGATTTCCATCATCTTCTTCCGGATTTGGCAGACTTGTTGGTGCTGAGCATAAGAGGTCTTCCATAACTGATTGTTGTGTTTTTTAGTAAAACCAACACAGAACAGACGAAGCAAGTAACCATCGGTACTCTTGACATCAACATGGGCTTCAATCATTGTCTGCCATTTTTTGACCATGGAACACATTTTGTCTTGCTGCTTTTAAGACTTTCTCTTGTCTTTGGTTTCCAGCAGTTTGATAATAGTAGGCATAAATTTTCCTTGCATTTATCACATTTGGGTCCATAACTCTTCCTTACATTTGTGGCTTGATATTGTCAGATTGGGAAAACCTCCAGTGATTATTTACTAAAATATTGCTTAAACTCCTCTGCCTTTTGGCTTTCCTGCAGACACTCCAATTATGTATGCTAGACCTGTCATGTCATATGGCTTGAACATTCTTTCCTGTGTTTTCCATTCCTTTGTTCTTCTCTGTATTTCCAGTTAAATATTTTTTTCAGTACAAATTTTGGTTAATTATCTCTCAGCTGTGCAAAATCTTCTCTTAAACAACTCACCGGGTTTTAAACATAGATTTTCATTCTAGAATCTCTCTTTTCACTTTTTTATAGAATTAGTTCTCTGTATAATTATTCCATTTGTCATTAAATTCTCTAAATATTTTAATCATTGTGATATTAATCTCCTTTGACCAATGTTATATCAAAGTTAAATAACACCAGTATCTGGACCTCCTAAGGGTTTCTATTTGTTACTTTTTGTGTTATTGATTTTCAGTTAAATACTATGTTTAGGGGCACCTGGTTATTTTTAAATGAATAACACTGTAAATAAAAAGTTATAGAGAAAATCTGAGGCTCCAGTTAACGTTACTTTCATCCAGAGAGGATTTACTTTTGTAGCTAGCAGAGGCACAGGCTAGGAACAGATTACTTCATTCTAGTGCTTGCATGATCAGAAGCCAGGCTTCAGGCACTTTGAAAAACAGGTTCTCAGATTCACGCTTATTCCTACAGTGAAACACTTGGAGGTCCCAATAAAAGCTTGAGCTATTTTCCAGGATGCCTCCTCCTTAACAAAATATGAATTTCACAGCTCTTTGAGTTTTCCAAAAACTCCACTCAGCTTTTCAGCTTCCAGGATGAGACTTTTAATTCATCAAATGCCTGAATGGGAAAAGTTGCTCATTTTCTGGATTACCTTCTCCCTGGAATATTAACCTCATGAATTCTTTCTACCTTGTAGATCTCAATACTTTCAAATTGATATCCCTCCCCACTTCTAGATTTTCTATTTGTTCTAAATGGAGAATGGTCTGAAACAAGCAAATTGGCCGTTACTGAAAATAGAATTACTAGATTATTATTTAAAAGCTCAAGAACAAAGCCCAGAATCTTAATGTAGTATTTCTTTTTCTCCTAAGTTATATACATCTTCAAATACACTTTGGGACAAAATTATTGCAAACATGCATATACAATGTAAGTTCTTATTGAAGACTGACATATTGGTACATGAATCACCCACATCTAAAGATCACCTAAGTTCAAATCTTGGCTGTTACACTCTGGACAAGTTACTCAATCTGTGCATCCATTTCAATGATTGTAAAACGGATAATTTTACTACCAATGTCATAGGTAGCTGTGAGGAAATAAATAAAACACATGATTATGTTTAGGAAAGTACATAACATGATATGTAGTAAAAAATACATGCTAACAAACTATTATGATTACTAGTATTAAAATAAATGTCAATGTAAGTAGCATCTTACATACCATGCTGTTTTGAAGATAGCTATGCATTTTATACTGGTGGTTTCTCTGGAGGTGGTCACTTCTGGTGACTGCCTCTCTCTCATATGTTGCTCTCAGCCTTTGCCAAGCAAAGACACACATCACTGCTAATTTCTGCAGCACAACAGGTCCATTCTTTTCAATTATTTCTCTGTAGTTTTCAACAGCTCCTCATTATTTTAAAGTACTTCCAAAAAATATACATATCATACCCACAAAGAAACATATTGACAGACAACCCAATTCCAATCATTTCATTTAAACCAAAAGACACAGATTTATAAAGTGCCTCATTGTTAGTACTGGCATCCCCAGAAAAAGGCATAAGCATTTACTCCTCATTCTCCACTCAAGAACTGGAGCTAGAGTTAACATCTACTTTTTAGAGATCCACTTTCATCTGAATTTTCCAACTATACTTTATGTCGACAACTCTAAAAGAGACTCATCTAGGATTCATTCTCTTTGCTGAAGATTGCCAGGGCAGGGAATGAGCACAGGGTATAGGAAGGAGCCATGGGGAGATGTCATTAAGTCACACACCAGCCTTCTCCAGGAGAAAAACACTTTCTTGATAACCTGAAACATTCTGAGCCCCCACTGAAACTTGAGATATTTTACCTATAGTCATAGACATAGGAATTTAACCCAAAGTGAAATGAGCAAAACATCACAGTTGGTCATTGCATGAAAACTCATTTGATAGGTGAGAGGGAAAGCTAAAATCATTCTGGGTGCAACATATTCCACCAAAAAAATTAATGAGGGAGATGCCATCTCAGATCATGCCAAATTTGCTATGTGTTCCCTTGTGGCAGGAGAGAGAAAAAGAACGAAAAACTTTCAAATCTCTAAATCAGAATAAAAGCTGAGAGATATCTGTTAGTTTATAGGAAAACTTACCACATTTTCAGTGAAATCTATTTAATTTTCCAAAGTTAATGTCTAACTTTATACATTAAATTACCAACATTTTCAATGAAAATTAATTTTAGAAACAGTGGGCTTATCCTCACTGTGTAAAGTAGAAACACTCAAAAGCAAATTTTATTTTATTTTTAAAATGTTTGTCTTTTGAGGCAGTATTCTGATCTGTCACACAGGCTGGAGTACAGAGGTGCAGCCCCAGTTTACTATAGCCTCAAACTCTTGGACTCAAGCAATCCTCCTGTCCAAGCTTCCCAAGTAGCTGGGACTACAGGCATGCCCGATTTTTTTTTTTTTTTTTTTTTTGTAGAGATAGGGTTTCCCCATGTTGCACGGTCTGGTCTCATGGTCTCAAACTCCTAGGCTCAAGTGGTCCTCCTGCCTCAGCCTCCCAAAATTGGGATTATAGGTTTGAGCGACCATGCCCAGCCACAAAATTTATATTTAAGCAATTCCTTGTAACTCAGAACTTAATGAAAACAAGGACACTAATGACAGTAAACCACATTTTTTTCCATGTGAAATACTGAGGTCTGCCTATTCTTGCATGCATAAGGTTTATTAGCAACATGACCCACCACACAATTTTCATACTGTTTCATATGACTACAGAAAGACAAAATCTCTTGTAGCTGCCTGGCCAGTCTCAACTCCAAAACGTTCAACTTATTTGAGTAAGTATGCAAATAAAAGCCTTGACATTGTAATTTCAGTCCAGCAGACTATTAGACAATACCTCCCGTGGGGAGCAAAGATACACAGTCTGGTAGGGAGGACACTGAAGGGGAAAACTAACCCAGATGAAAGGAGGTGGATGCAATGTGACTATGGACAGCCCTATGTCCACATATTTTGAAATGTGAATATATTTGGGTGCAAATTTAGACTCATTAAGTTTGATATGAAACTTAATGTTTTGCTCTGTCCATTTCTTCCCTGAAACAGCTCTCTACACATAGTTATCATTCTCCTCTTCTGTGACAGAAAATACCTGCTGTGTGCTTAGCGTCCACTCTCTTGAGAGGACCTCTCTGATTGCACAGCATCTGGGTCAGCCTGTCAATCATGAGAAGCAGATGCCACCAGCTGGCAAAGGAGAATTCTCCACCCTTGGTAACAGTGACTACATCATTTGGGTTTGGTAAGTGACCCTCTCTATAAGATGTATAATGTAGATGCTAAGACAGAGTGAGAAGATCCCTCCTTTTTAATCTTTAGCTATAGGGGGAAAAGCCTGAGGCTGTCATTAGTCATCTCATGCTGTAGGAGAAACTCTGCCTGAGAATGAAGTCACAGCACAGTGAGAAGTGAGTTAAGCTGTGGAAAGGGAGACGGAGCCCAGTCATCACTGAACTGCTGGATCCAGCTATACCTGAAACTAAATATTCCTCTACTCACAACTATACAAGCCAATAAATCCCCATTTATGATTAAGCTAGATCTGTAGACAGGCATGGTGGCTCACACCTGTAATTCCAATACTTTGGGAGGCTGAGGTGAGTGGGTTGTTTGAGCCCAGGAGTTTGAGACTAGCCTGGGCAACATAATGAAACCTGTCTCTACCAAAAATGCAAAAACTAGCCAGGTGTGGTGATACATGCCTGTAGTCATGGCTATGCAGGAGGCTGAGGTGGGAGGACCGATTAAATTTGGGTGGCTGAGGCTACAGTGTGCTGTGACTGCACCATGGCACTCCAGTCTGGGTGTCAAAGTGAGACTCTATCTTTAAAAAAAAAAAAAAAAAAAAAAAAAAGCCTGATTTGTGTTTCAGAAACAACAACCAAGCAACTACAGTAGAATACCCTTTTAAATCCATAAGTCCCTGCTCTTTTGTCAGTTAAGAGGCAACTACTAGATAACTAGCTATACATTAAATACTAAGGAACCTTCCAAAGATTCCTAGTTTCAACTACATCCTTGAACATAGTTGCTATATCCTACAAAATACAGTGATACTCTGAAATAGAGAGAGAGATCGAATAAAGGGTAGATTATCCAAGAAGTCTCAAAGATAAGATAAAATACAGTAGAATAAGAAGGTGGGCAAGAACACTGAAGAGGGACAGACATCACAAACCCTGGTCTGATTAGGTATCAGAATTAGGAGCCGGCAGTAATTACTCAGAATAGCTGAGCAGAGTTCTGAAGACAGCAGTTAGGCAAAACAGTGCCTTAGAACAGGAAAGAGGGCAGGAGTCAGTTCACTAAGCATTTAGTGAGTGCCCCCTAGGGCTGTGCACTTCCCTAGGCATATCAGGTAAAATTAACAAAATATGGTCTAGCCGTTCAATTCATTGAGGGACCCAGAAATACAAACAGTAACATCCCTATGAGGATAACAATGACGCTGTGCATATGTCCCTCCTACAGAAGCACGAGAGAGGCCCACCAGGCCCAGATGGAGGATGAAGAACTAACAAGCACAGCATAGGATACTGGTTGCCTCAGTGACACCCTAACATCCTAGAGAAAAACAGTTCTTACTCATTATAGCAAATACAGGAAAACAGTCAAACGAGTTTGAAGTTACCTATGATTCTTCTGGAACAGAACTCATTGTTTTACTCACTGTACAGCAATGTAAAAATTTTCCTTTACTTAGAAATGAAAACAAATCAACCAAAAATACCACGGCTGTATGTAATGAGGGATCTAGCACCACCACATACAAATAATTTGTCTTGCATTCTTCCACCTCATTCTATTTCAAGCATGTGAGTGGATAGATACTGTGATATACGGCCCTCCTCTTCTTTAAAGACTGAAAAGCTGATGCTCCCAGCTGCAGAAAACACTGCAGGACATCAACTGTCATCCTCTAGAACTGCTTTGAATGAAGAAGAGTGTATCTGCCCAAGGTAATACACATCTAATGACTGATTAAACACTGGTGTCTAAAGACTTGACCTCCTTGCGCTGACTCAGGACAAATCTGAAAGAATGGCCGAGCTTCAGCTGTTTCAAATAGGGTCGGCAGGGGCCTTTCCTGAGCCTGTGTCAACAGGATTGGGCAGAGAAGAAGAGGTAAGGCTGCTGCTTCCTTCCCTTCCCTTCACCAGACACTGACCCCAAGAGCAAACCCTAAGAGGCACACTATATGCTAATCTGCACCTTGGAGTTGGCTTCCCAGGGAATCCCGCCTGCAAAGGTGTGCTCTATATATGGACACAGAGGACCACCACAGAGACTCTAGAAAAAAAGATAAGGAAGTCTTATTTCTAAATTTCTTCCACTGAAATAAGAAGGTCAAAAATAAAAAGGTGCTGTCAAATTTAGAATAAACAGGGAATTTTGTCTATAACTGTGAAAAGGAGAAATCAATAGCAATAGAAAAACATTTCTAATCAGGTTGTTTCATTTGTCCTGTAGGATATTTAGGTTTCAGTGTACTGAAAAATATTTACAACGTAAAATCTTTGATCATATGTAAATCCTGGAAGACCTTTATGGTCATGAGAAGGTGAGATGCTTTTCACATAAATTATTACTAGTATGGTTACAATGCTTCACAAAAAAGTGACTGAACACACAATCTAATTTATATAAAGCATAAGTTGACCTGGACATTTTTCAGGTTTTCATGAACTTCTCAAAGGTATCATATATTAATCCATCTTAGCAAATGCAAGCTCATGAAATGCAACAATTTTGAACACAATTAGCTATATTCTCATTCTTGTTCAGAAAAAAAGTAATTTTGGAATACACATTTTTTCTACTTTAATACTTATCTGTGATAGATAATGAATTCCTCTAGAAACACCTCTTACTGATAAAGCTGAGGGTACAGTATAAAACCTCTTAATAAAATCTCAGAGACATGTTAAGTCAGTGCCTCACAGAACTGTTCATCCAGATGAAAGGCTAAGGATCTTAAGGGCATAACTTATATATACTGGCTATTAACAGTACGATCTATAAAAACCTTAACAGGGTCCTCCCTCAGCAGAATCTCAAGCGCTTATTTCAAAGAGATTCATGAATGTGGCTTTGTCTAACAAAATGAAGCTCAGTAACATTCACAGGAGATCCATAAGATTTTTAAGAGAATTAGTCTGACACTGCCATTAGAAACACTGTCAGTTCAGACCAAAATGGACAGAGACACTTATAATGAAAAGAGACCTTTGGACTACAAAGAGGCTAAAAGTACGACAGGCAGAAATCAGACTGGGAAAGGTATGCAACAAAACTGGCCATTTCTTAGGGAAGAGGAGGAGTGACTCAGACAGAAGTCCAGAATTATGGAGAATCACTCCTAGGCAGTAGGACTGAGACTTAGTCAAGTAATTACATCACATTCCTAGTAGTTTTTCAGAGTTTCTATGAACCAGTGATTTCTGCATGCCTTGTTTCCACCCTTCCTGAACAGGAGGCTCTACATGAAAGTTCTCCTCTGCCTGTCCTACCACTGCACGTTAGAAGGGTGGGAGGGAGATAACTTGTCTCTTTAGTTCACAGATCTTCAGACAAAGACATATTTGAGAAGTTGTGCAAAACCACAATGAAAATATCTCATCAGTACTTGAACCTGATTTAAGAGCTGAGATCCTTGACTTTGATCTGACATACCAATGAGGATGAGATTTGTAGATCTTGGGAGAAGAAGGGAGTGCATTTTACATGTAGGAAGCGTATGATATGAATTCTTATGGTAAGAGGATACTGACAGACTGTATTTTCCAATCATGGCCACACTAATATATATCCGGTCCCACATGCTCTTCCTAGAAAGTTACAGACACTTCTCTACTGAGTGGTGGGGTCTACATTCCCTTCACATGAACTTGGCAGGGGTCTTCACACCTTTGGTATAAGTGCTGTTGTATGATGTCCAAGGCTGGGTCATGAAAGGCAGTTCAGCAGTGACCATCTGCCAACTCAGGGCACTTGCCATTGGAATCAAGTTATCATTTTGTGAAAAGTCCCAGACCACATGAAGAGGCCATATGTAGGTAATCCCACCAGCAGACTGAGGTGGTAACCACCTGAAAATCAACATCAATTTCTAGACTTGTGAATGAACATGGCTTCAGATGATTCTAGGCCCTGGCCCTTGAGACCTCTAGCTGAAGCCCCACACATGATGGAACAGAGATAATCTATTCCCATTGTACCCTATCTGAATTCCAGACAACAGAAACTGAGAGGCATAACAATGATTGTTGTTTTGAGCCATGCAGCAGTAGATAACAAATAAATATATAGTACCTCAAAATACTAATGTTATACAAAATTCCATATTCCAATGTAACATAAAAATGAAAGTTGCAATGTGGTGCAACATTAATTATGCAACAGCCCATTCTAGCAGGTTTGGGAAACGCTGGCCAAGACTGTCACATGTGAATTAGTACTAACTCATAAAGAGAATAATATATTAGTAAGATAGGAGTAGGTCTTCCCCTAAAACACCCATCACAAATTCTAAAAATGCACAGAAATATTCCTTCACATACCTTGAATAAACTTTCTACAAGGGCAATTGAAAAATGCAGAATACTGACCAAAAATGCCTGTGGTCCCCTATAATAGTGATACAAAATAATCACAAATGCTTTGCTTCATGATCCTAAGTTAAAGAAAACAGCCAGCTAGTTAACAAGGGAGACTCTCAGAAAGACAGGGCCAGTCAAATGAAAAATCCTAAAAGCTTTCTCTTGATGTAGTTTTGTTTTTGTTTTTAAGAGGCAATAAAGCTTAACACTAAAACACTTGACCACTGGAGTCCAAAAATCTAGTTTCAAATCTCATGTTTGCCAGTTACAAGCTGTGTGACTTTAGCTGAGTCAACTGACCTCTATGTGCTTTTGTTTTATCTGTAAAACGGAGATTGTACAAGCCAGGTTTATCCAGAAGAACAGAATCAAGAGCGCATATATATAAGAAACATGTATCCACTACATGAATCTCCAGAGGAATCTGGCTCATGAAATCTCCATATATATGAGAAACATATAAAATAAATAAATATATATATGTATGTATTTGTTTGTACATGTACATACGTATATACATATGTAGAGAAAGACACAGAGAGAGATTGATTGACATTTTAAGGAAATATCCCATGTAATTGTTGGGGCTGGCAAGTCCAAATTAAGTGGGCTGCCAAACTGGAAACTCAGGCAGGGTTTCTATGTTACAATCTTGAAAATTCCTTCTTCCTTAGGAAACCTCTGTCTCTCTTCTAAAAGCTTTCAATCGATTAATGAGCTTATCCACATTATGGTGGGTAATTTGCTTTACTCAAAGTCTATTTATCTAAGTGTTAATCTCAACTCAAGTCCACTGATTTAAATTAAATGGTTAATCACATCTAAAAATATCTTCATGGCAACGGCTGGACTTCTGTTTGACCAAACAACTGGGAACCACTACCTGGCCAAGTGGACACACATTAACCCTCATAAGGATAAGAAAATAGTACCTACTTGTCATTGGGTGGTTGGGTGGCTTAAGTGAGTTAATGTCCATAGGTGCTTAGCATAATGCCAGACAATGAAAATATGCTGAAAGTATGTTAGTTATTTCTGGAATGACAACCATTTTGCCCGAAACAGTCCTGACTTATACCTATTGTTCTCACATCAATTGTTGATATCACCCTCATGTCTCTTCATTATTACTTACAAATCAATCTTATAAACCAGAGGTTAATTTAGCCTCGTATTTTTTCCTACCTTTATGTGAAAGTGGCTCTAAAAGAAAAAGGAAGCAGACATGCTGGGTGTTTCTGGGAACAAGGATTCAAGTTATCATGTTCTTCAACTCCGGGTACCCTCACCTGCTCAAGGAATTGGACCTATAGTCACATTCTGTCATACTAACTAAGTCTCTGAGTTATGAGTAAACAAGAAAAATCAAAGAGAGTACTAACACAGAGATATAGACCAACAGAACAGAACAGAGGCCTCAGAGGCAACGCCACACATCTACAACCATCTGACCTTTGACAAACCTCACAAAAACAAGCAATGGGGAAAGGATTCCCTGTTTAATAAATGGTGTTGGGAAAACTGACTAGCAGTGTGCTGAAAGCAGAAACTGGAACCCTTCCTGACAACTTACACTAAAATTAACTCCAGATGGATTAAAGACTTAAGCATAAGGCCTAACACCATAAAAACCCTAGAAGAAAACCTAGGCAAAACCATTCAGGACATAGGCATAGGCAAGAACTTCATGACTAAAACACCAAAAGCATTGACAACCAAAGCCATAGACAAATGGGACCTAATCAAACTCCAGAGTTTCTGTACAGCAAAAGAAACAATCATTAGAATGAACCAGCAATCAACAGAATGGGAAAAAATTTTGGCAATCTACCCATCTGACAAAGGGCTAATATCCAGAATCTACAAAGAACTAAAACAGATTCACAAGAAAAAAAACAAACGAACCTATTCAAAAGTGGGAGAAGGATATGAACAAACACTTTTCAAAAGAAGACATATATGACACCAACAAACATATTAAAAAACACTCATCATCACTGATTATTAGAGAAATGCAAATCAAAACCACATTGAGATACCACCTCACACCAGTTAGAATGGCGATCATTAAAAAATCTAGAAACAACAGATGCTGAAGAGGATGTGTTGAAATAGGAACACTTTTACACTGTTGGTGGGAGTGTAAACTAGTTCAACCATTGTAGAAGACAGTGTGGCGCTTCCTCAAGGACCTAGAAATAGAAATTCCATTTGACCCAGCAATCCCATTACTGGGTATATACCCAGAGGATTATAAATCATTCTGTTATAAAGACACATGCACACATATGTTCATAGTGGCACTGTTTACAATAGCAAAGACCTGGAACCAATCCAGATGCCCATCAACAATAGACTGGACGAGGAAAATGTGGCACATATACACTATGGAATACTATGCAGTCATAAGAAATGATGAGTTTCTGTCCTTTGTAAGGACATGGATGAATCTGGAAACCATCATTCTCAGCAAACTGACACAAGAACAAAAAATCAAACACACATGTTCTCACTCATAGGCAGGTGTTGAACAATGAGAACACATGGACACAAGGAGGGGAGCATCACACACTGGGGTCTGTTGGGGGTACAAGGGAGGGGGTGTGGAGAGGTTGGGGAGGGATAAGATGGGGAGAAATGCCAGATGGAAGTGATGGGGGAATGGAGGCAGCAAACCACATTGCCATGTGTGTACCCATGAAACAATCCTGCATGATCTGCACATGTACCCCAGAACCTAAAGTACAATTTAAAAAAACACACATACACACAAAATAAAAAAACAACATAAATTGTCATATTTATATTGCCAAAGAATAAAATTTTCAAAATATAAGTAGGTTTTTTTTTGTTCTACCACTTTTCCATGCCCCACTTCTAAGCCACGTTTCATCCTATAAAATTTCTGAACATACAGATCATAATAGCATCATACAGAATGCTCAAATCACCTAGAAAAGGCCATTCAAGCTTCAGTAGCATTTTATTTTCTAGTTAACTGGCTAGTTTCATGACTATGCTAATGTCAGAGTATTTAAGCAACTGTGGTGCCAGATAACCTACATATACTCTCTGAATAATCAAGTGCTAATCATTTTTCACATTAAGCAATGATTTGAACCAAAAATGTCCAAACCAGACTGACCTGAAGTTACAAAAACAACTATTCTATTCCTGTAAGGAAGCATTATGCAGAAGTGAAGCTCCAGAACAGCCCCTGTATCTTTTCTGAATTACATGTTTTTGCTTACATTATAATCACTTGCAATTCACCATGGGCTCAGCATGGTTAGAAATTCCTTGTATATGATCTGCTTTTCAGATCGAGGAACTTAAAGCAATGCCACGTGACTATAAAATGATGAGCCTAATTTTTGTACATAGCTTCTCCAATTACTTCTATTGTGGTACTTTACAAATTACATCATGTCCTTTCATCTCAGATCAATTTGGAACACACACACACAAAAGTGAAGCCTGTCTTATACTACCAAAGTCCCACTAAAATTTATGTTAGTTTTAATATAACAAACACACATTGACCAAAGCATCTTGGATTTTCAAGGGCATGTCAAAGCAAAACAGTAGCAGCTTCTGAAGTTATAACAAAACAAACAAATTCTACAGCCAACTGTTGTACCATATGTTTCCAATGGCTTTTATTCTACATAAAGCCAATTCATCCTTTGAACAAAACACAACATCACAGAGGCTAGTCACTGAAGGCGCCTTTCTGATCATTTGTCAATTTCTTGCTACAGCAAGTTCTGAAGTCTGAACAGGAAGCTGAATCCTGCCTGAAAATAATAGGTACATTGCCGATGGCTTTTATAGCACAGGCCCTGCCAGAATGCTAAAAAATCCAGATTAGTTACACTGTCAGTTTTTGGAGGAAGATCTATGAAGTGATTTACACAGCACCCAGGTATGATAGCAAACAAGTGCTTCAAAATATGATACCTTCAGAGGAAGAATCTGCCTAACCACCTTATGTCTATATGTGTCCTCCAATAAGTAATTTATTTCTCAACTAATCACACATACACTTTTTTTCTTGAAAAATATCTAGAATAAAATTTAAATCTCAGACAGGTGGCAGAGCAAATTGGCGGAATAGAAGGCTCCACTGAGAGTCTTTCCTGCAAGGACACCAATTAACACTTATCTACGCTAAAAAAGCACCTTCATACAAACCAAAAATCAGGTGAGCACTCACAGTATCTGGTTTTAACTTATCTCTGAAATAGGCACTGAAGAGTTGAGAAAAACAGTCTTGGATAGCTGAGGATACCTCCCTTTCCCTATCACCCTGCCCTCACAGCCTCCCCACCAAACACACACACACACACACACACACACACACACACACACACACACACACACACCAGCAACATCGTGTAGAGAGTATTTCTGTGTGGTGGGGAGAGGGGAGTATGGCAACTACGAGGCACTGAACTCAGTACTGCCTTTTTATAGCAGAAAACAAAACCAGACCAAACACAACTGATGCCCATCCATGAAGGGAGCATTTAAACCAGCCCTAGGAAGAGGGGAATCACCGATGCCAACAGTCCGAATCTGAGCTGGAAAAGTATTCTGGAGTCCATATTCTGAAGCCCTAAATAAACCTGAAAGTCAGTCTAGGCCACAAGGACTAGTACTCCCAAGTGAGGCCAAGTGCTGAACGGGGCCCAGAGCCAATGGACTTGGGGCCATGCAACCTACTGAGACAACACCCAGGGCAGCTAAGGAAGTACTGGCATTACCCCTGCTGTAAGCTCAGGCTGCACAGCTTGTGGCTCCAAAAGAGACCTCATCCCTCCACTTGAGCAGAGGTGGGGGAAGAGTGGGGGGACTTTGTCTTGCATCTAGGATACCAGCACAGCCACAGCAGGATAGGGCACTGCTCAGAATCATTAGGTCCCCTTTCCAGCCTCTAGCTCCCAGATGACATTGCTAGACCCACCCTGGGCCAGAAGGGAGCCTACTGCCTTGAACTGAAGGACGTAGTCCTGTCAGGATTCATCGCCAGCTGACTGAGAGGCCAAGAGTTCTGCATAGCCAGCAGCGATGCTCAAGTGCTATGTCAAGGACCTTGTTGAGCTTCTAAGGCTTGCTAGCTTCAGGTGAGACTCGGCACATTCCCAGCTGTGGTAGTTATAGGTGGCAAGACTCCTTCCACCTGAGAAAGCAGGGGGAAAAAGTGAAGGGGACTTTGTCTTGCACCTTAGGTGCCACCTTGGCCACAGTTGGGTAGAGCACCAAATGAGCACTTGGAGTCCGTGATTCCAGTTCTTGACTTTTGGATGGCATTTCTGGACCTGTCCTGGGCCAGAGGGGAGCCCACTGCCATGAAGAGTGAGTCCAGAAATACTATCCAAGACTCAAGGCAGCATTCACCACAAGCTGACTAAAGCACACTTTGTCTTAAGGGAGCTCTGGTGCTAGTCTGGCAGTACTCCCTGTGGGCCCATGGTGGCTGTGGCAATGGGGTGAGACACGTCTGCCTTTGGAAAGAGGAGGGAAGAGTGGGAACGACCATGACTTGTGGTTTGTGTGCCAGCTCAGCCATAGAACAACAGTATACCAGGCAGACATGTAAGGTTTTGACTCAAATTCCATGCAACTGGATGGCACCTTTGGACCTGCCTGGGCCTAGGGGAGCTCACCACTCTGCAGAAGAGACAGGCCTGACTGGCTTTGCCATCTGCTGACTGCAGAGCCCCACGGCTTTGAGTAAAATTAGGTGATAGCCCGGGAGTTCTTACAACAGACTCTGGGAAAGACCAAGTACTGGACTGGCTTCAGGTTTGACCCAGCACAGTTCTAGTGATGGCGGCACAGGGGTGCTTGTGTCACTCCACCCTCAGCTCCAGATGGCTCAGAACAAAGACAGAGACTCCTTTTTTGGTGAGACAAAAATTAAGGAAAAAGAACAAGAGTCTCTCTGACTAGTAATCCAGAGAATTCTTCCAGATTTTGTCCAAGACCATTACGGCAGCACTTCTATGATATGGTTTGGTTATGTCCTCACCCCACTCTCATCTTGAACTGTAGTTCCCATAATCCCCACGTGTTGTGGGAGGGTCCTGGAGGCAGGTAATTAAATCAAGGGGGCAGTTAACCCATGCTGTTCTTCTCATGATAGTGAGTAAGTTCTCACAAGATCTGATGGTTTTATAAGGGACTTTCCACCCTTTGCTCGGCACTTCTCTCTCCTACCACCATGTGAAGAAGGAAGTGTTTGCTTCCCCCCTCCACCATAATTGTAAATTTCCTGAGGCCTCCCCAGCCATGTGGTACTGTGAGTCAATTAAACCCCTTTCCTTTATAAATTACACAGTCTCAGGGAGTTCTTCATAGCAGACTGAGAACAGACTAATACATTCTATGAGTCTTCTCTTCAGGAACCACAGAGTTACCAGGATCAGGGTGCCCACTAATGCAGATATAGTTAAAACCATTAACATCTAAGTTCTTTAGAATATCTGGAAAACCTTCCCAAGGTAGGAACAAGCCCAGACTGAGAGGAATACAATAAACACCTAACTCTTCTATGCCCAGATACAGATTAAGCATCTACAAGTATTAAGACCATCCAGAAAAATATGACCTCACCAAATGAACTAAATAAGATACGAGGGACCAATTCTGGGAAAACAGAAATATGTCACCTTTCAGGCGGAGAATTAAAAATAGCTGTGTTGGCCAGGTGTAGTGGCTCATGCCTGTAATCCTACCACTTTGGGAGTCCAAGGAAGGTAGATCATCTGAGGTCAGGAGTTCGAGACCAACTGGCCAAAATGGTGAAACCCTGAACCTACTAAAAATACAAAAATTAGCCAGGCATGATGGCATGCACCTGTAATCCCAGCTACTCAGTAGGCTGAGGCAGGGGAGTCACTGAACCTGGGAGGCAGAGGTTGCAGAGAGCTGAGATTGCACCACTGCACTCCAGCCTGGGCAACAGAGTGAGACTCTGACAAAAAA